GGGGGGGGGGGGCGGTTGTAGGTGGAAACGAGGCTGGACTGAGTTGCAGCCATTTGCTCACGGCCTCCCCAGGGGTGGGAGGCAGCGGGAATCCGAGGAAATAAGGAATCAAAGGGACTCCAAAGAGGCCCATCTACACTGACAGAAGAACTAGCAGCTTGAGAGTAAATCCTACCCCTGTTAATCCTGTTTGATGTTTCTTGGAATGATGCAAGTCATTGAGACTCTTGGGCCTCCCTGTAATTTAATTCTCCCACCATTCCGGAGTGGTGTGTGTGTGCTGGCCTCAGGAAACGAGCAGCTATTTCCATTCCTCCGGCCCTTGCTGTTTTCCAGCCAACTAGTGTGCCTTTGGATTTGTTTCTGTTGCCCAGGTCAAGGCCTGCTTTGTTTTCCCTTCTAACACTATTTATAATTTCCCAATTGCTATTTTAAGTTCTTTTGAGGGAAGATCCCACCTCCAAGAACCTTTCTGGGTGCGTTTCCTCCTAGGCAGGTGTTGAATTGAGTTCTTCAGGTCCCCAAGTAGCTCTTGGGCAGGAGGGATAAAAGCTATTTTAGGGTAGTCACTGAAGTGGAGCTGTTAATCCTCTGTGGGTCTCTTTGGTTAAGAACACTCAGAGATTAACCCTTTCCTTGCTGCAGAAACTGCTGGCTCAACATTATTTGATGGGGAGAGTTGGGAAAACTGGACTGTGGCAGCCGAAGGTGGGAACACAAAATTCAGTACAAAGACCAAGATAATAGCTTTCTTTTGCTGGGCACTTTGAGCAGGCCAAACCCAATGCTGAGCTTTTTGCATACCTGACTAAAATAATCCTTACAACCAGACTGTGAGGTAAGTATTTTTAGCTTTACTGATGAGGAAACAGGCTAATAATGGAGAAAGAACGCAGTTTCTATAGAGATGATGTAACACCATAAAAACTATAGTTTCATCAGAGGGCAGCCTACATCACAGCACTACAGAAGACAGACCGGAGCTTCTAAAGGCCACAGAGAGCATTGAGCAAGCATTCTTACTTTGGGTATGGAACTTTAATAATAGAAGAGGGCGTAATAAAGTAATCATCCAGGCAAGAAGAAAACTGACCCAGGGATGTGCTGGAGGGAGGTAAAGGGCTGGTGGTGAGGGTTAACAGTGAGGGAAAAGAGGAAGGCTGAGTTCTAAGATGTTGGGAAGGGAAGGAAACTGACTTTGAGGCATGAGAAGTAACACCAAGAGGGAGAGAGAGAAGTTCCACTTGGCCTGCTGAAGAGTGGCAGCAGTGATATTGCCCTTGTGGGCTTCATTTGTTCACAATTCATGTTACTCTCAATAGTGCCATTTCTTCACTCCATCCTCCAGAAAATGTACAGGTTGAGAATGAATCTCTTTCAGAAGTTGAGGAGAGTAAGGTTCAGAGAAATGAAGTAACCTGCCTGTGGTTTCACAGCCAGTGAGTGGTGGCTCTTCTGATAGCAAGTCCAAGGTTCTTTCTGTACTGCCTCCCCCTTCAGATCAGATGCCAGAAGAATCTTGGGCTGAAAATACACTGACTTATACCAGTCCCTGGGAGGGATTGTGTTTGTTTTATGGAAACAGGTTCTGTCAGCTTCTCCATAGCTATGGTTAGAGTGAGACCAGAAGAGCAGCTTTGGAGAGAAGCAACATTCTTTCACAGTTTTGACAGGAAGTCTGAAGAACTAGGTCTGATTCATGAATCAAACTCAGGATTTTTTTTTAATCAGAGGAGTATGCAGACAAAGAACACAGAGAAAGTCAGACTAGATCCCCAAAAGGTTCCTAGTATCAGCAACTGTGGCTGCCCAGCAGCCTGGTGGCCACTGATTATAGGTAAGGATCTTGCTGTTTTCTCAGAGGCCTAGGGAAGTAGGATCAAGGCGGTGACTCTTTTCTTCTAAAGCCATAGCCTCATTAATGCTGAAGTTGAGCACGTGGTTCCCACCTTCCTCCTCTGGTTCTGTCTGCATCCTCATGAGCTCTTAGCCACTAACAGCCTGTTTCCTAGAAGCCCATTACTCACTCTTTCAGTGCCAGCATGCTAAACTGCTGTGTCTTGTTTGTGCATGTTCACCAGAACAGATGAGGTGGACGTGTGGGAGGTGGGGATGTACCATTCTCTCTCTGAGTTTGTGCGGAATTTCCAGAGATAGGCTCCCTTTTCTCATCAGCTAGAGCGATGTGACTTGCTTTCCTCTAGCTGCTATTCCCAACTTCCACGGCTGAGATGCATGATTTAGATATGAAGCGGGAGCGGAATTTGACTTTGAAGGTATGGGGCATTCTCTCTAAACTAGACATGCATACTTGGAGCTCATTCTCTCCAGTTCCAAGGTACATAGTCATCGCTGGTATAAACACGCAGTTCCACCCTTGAGCAGGAGGGGAGGAAGTTTGAACAATGAAAGCCAGCCATCAGTGCCTTTGAGATGTATAGAGAATAGGCAGATATTCCAGGATAACTCAAGTGAGTATTTTTCAGTAATTTCTTGCTCTTCCCCGTACATGATTAGTACAAAATACTGCCACTTTTGTGCAGATGATTTTAGGCAAATCCCCACTTGTGAGGGGAAATGCCTGTCATATTACATTACAGTGTTTTTTCAACAAAAGGAATGATTCCTGAACAGGATGTAGTTCATGGTGTGATGAGCGAAGCTCTCTGGGGCATGAACCCGCTGATACGATCATCTCGTTCATGGCCAGTCTGTTGGATGAATGGTCACTGTAAGCAGCAGGTGCTGATTAGCTGAGCAAGCATTCCATGGTCCACAGCTAGTTTGTGCAGTCGACGCTCTCCCCAGATTCTTATAGCCAATTCCCAGATACACCATCATTGCTCTCTTTACGTGGAAAATCCTCATGACTAAATTTTGGGATAGTTTCTGATTTGGTGTCAGGAAGGGGTTGTGTTATTGTTACTCTGTCTTCCTCTCCTTACTACACCACTGTCACCAACAAGGGGAAGGGTCAGATTTCAAGTTTTGGCTTCTTTCTCTGGAGGGTGGTAAACTCAGTTTTAAACTAGAATTTCTGGGCATAAATTAAGCCCCTGAGAATCAACTTGAGTTCAGAGAGTAATGTACTCATTTAAAAGAAAGTTGAAATTCCTTCTCTAGATGTTAGGTATATGGAAATGAAAGGAATACAGAAGGATCCCTCCGAGATTAGTCGGTGGTGAGGACTTACTTACATTCCAAGAATGTTATCTGTCTTAGTAGAGGATTGCATGTGTACCCTTTGAGTCTCTAGAGTGAACCATACAGCACTTTGGGTTTTTGTGGTTTAAAAGAAAACAAAAAAACCATGGGGCTTTGGTAAAGATGGACCTGGACAACAAAAGATCCAGAAAGGCAGTAGAGGTCAGGGTAAGACTGGCACTAGATTAGGGAAGGTTCTTGGAGTCAACTTCTAGGTTCTCAAGAAGGAACCTCCTGATGCTAAGAAATGCATGTGGCACAGGGGCTGGTTTGGGTCTGAATTTCCAATGAAAGGGTTCTCATTCTCTGTTGCCTTTTGGATATTTTATTATTCCTTAGCACCTCTGGTGAGGGGAATAATAGAGGATGGAGTGAAGTAGGGTGAGGAGGAGGAAAGCTATCTAAGCTTTATGGGAATGATATAAAAATGAAGGGTAAGTTTAATTCCTTGGATTACTTTGTCTCTTCTAGCCTAGAGCTAGAATAACCCCGATGAGCACTGGCAAGCACCAAGTACCAATGGAAGCTTTATACTCATTGCTGCATTGACCTCCAAAACATGATTTTGGGGGTTGTGTTTGTTTTGTAAATAAGGAAGCAGGCCAGGGAAGCAAGTGCTTGTTTGAAAGTCACGCCACTATTGAGTGGGAGGAGGTGGCTGGTGTTCGTTTGGGAGGTGTTTGCTAGAGCCTCTGTGCCCTGGGTATGGGTCTTCCTAACACCAGGTGCTATGTTTCAGGTGAAGAGACTGTTTTCTGAAGGCTGCGTTGGAGACTGTGACCGAGCAGACTGAGCAGAACCGATGGGGAGGCCTTCTGAATAACATGGCCCTCTGCCATTAGCCTTGCCATGACCACATTTTTCACCAGCGTCCCTCCCTGGATTCAAGATGCAAAGCAGGAGGAGGAAGTGGGCTGGAAACTAGTTCCCAGGCCTCGGGGCCGGGAGGCAGAGAGTCAAGTGAAGTGCCAATGTGAAATCTCGGGGACACCTTTCTCAAATGGGGAGAAGCTAAGGCCTCACAGCCTTCCCCATCCGGAGCAGAGACCGTATAGCTGCCCTCAGCTGCACTGTGGCAAGGCTTTTGCCTCCAAGTACAAGCTGTATAGGTAGGTGACACTCCCATACCTCTTTTAGCCCCCAACTTCCCAGAGGTCAAAACCAGAGACTTACCTGAGTATGGGACTTTATTGGTAGCAAAAGAGTAAAAGTTAAAATTGTCCTGTAAGTGTACTCTGAACTCTAACCATTTGAAGTCACTCACTAAGTAATAATGGTGTTTAGCTGGGCATGGAGGCGCATGCCTGTAATTCTAGCACTTACAAGGCAAAAGCAGAAGAGTCACACAAGTTCAAAGCCAGCTTGGGCTACAGAGTGGGACTGTTTCTAAATAAACCACCTAGAGCCTATTGAACTGGCTCCGTGCTTGCTACCACGCCTAACATTCTGAGTTCAGTCCCTGAGACCCACATGGTGGAAGAAGAGAACTGACTTCTGCATGTTGTCTCTGGCCCCTAAACACTTACTTATAAACGCAAAATAAATGTAATAAAAATTTTTTTTAGTAGGCACACACCTTTAATTCCAGCACTAGGGAGGCAGAGGCAGGTAGATCTCAGTGAGTTTGAGGCCAGGCTACATACAGGAACCTGGTCTCAACCCTTCCCCCCGCCCCCCCAAAAATTTTTTTTAAGCACCAGACAAACAAAACTGTTTTGAAAAAGGAGTTCCTTATGTAGCCTGAGTTAGCCTAGAATTCTAAAAATCCCTGCCTCATCAAAAATGGTGGTATTTTTATTGAGACAAATAGAATCTGATGAGTATAGTGTAAAGCAGCCATGAACAAATTAGACTTAACTTTTTTTTTTTCAGTATTTCCTCCATTCCTGGCAAGTAAATTATCAGAATCTTAGCCAGAAGTTAGGAATTGGTCTTAGAAATTTAAAAAGAAAAGATGATCCTGTGGTCTAATCTGTTCATCCTAAAACTAGGGTTCTCGTGACTTAGCCAGGATCGCAGAGTGTTGGTCCCACAGTGCTGCTGCTTCTGACTCAACCTGCTAATCAGATGGTTGTTTCTGTCTGTGTAGACTCCCTGCTGCTCTGTGGGTCAGCTCCTTTCCTGAAATTTGTAAACCCAAGAACCCTTACTTAAAGTGAAAGAGAATGTGAAAGCCCTTTTTATGGCAGATAAGAGCAGCTCTGTTAGGGAAAGGACCTGATGAGAGCCGTTTATGTTCACTTGATCCCCTGTCTTTCCAGTAAAGAAACCATGAACTTGCCCTGATCAAATGAGGTAGACTAACATGGTGCATCTAGCCATTCATCTATTATTTATTAATCTCCTGCTGTGTACCAAACAGTCCTCATTGCTAGGGACAAAATAGTGAGCAAGAAGGATGGGGAGCTAACTATTGTTTGTTTTTTACACATAAGTAAAAACTTTGGAGTATACTTTCTCAGTAATGAAGACAGACAGGACACCCGTAAATACAATGAGATGACCACAGAAAGCCCCAGTTCCTCATCTGGAAAACAGTTGGTAGGAAGGAACTAAGATAGGCATCAGGGGTTGTGTGGAGGGCAGGATTGCCCTCAGGACAGTTATGTAGACCTAGGAATGTGTTGATTCTGTGTGCTTCTCTATCTTAGGGGACCCTAATCAGGGACATCATCTTGGACTTTATTGTGGTGGTCTGAGTACCAGTGAGAGACTGATAGAAAAATCCTGGTCCAAGAGGCAAGAGCCTTGGCAGAATTTACTTGTGATCTTTGTGAGTTTCTGAACTTCTTTGGGCCTTAGTTTTCTACTTGAGAAATAAAGGAAACAGACTAAGTCCTTCAGCTCTACCTCTCATGTGCCATCCTGCCAGTATTTCAAGAGATTGATAATGACACACATAAACATGAATGCATACACATAACACAAGGTAATTCTCTATATAGAAAAGGTCATGGGGTACTAGACGCAGCTATGATGTGCTATCTTAAGAGGGTCAGTGTTTAAATACAGCCTCTGCTACTGACTGACTGATGGGTGGGGCTACCTGGTGCTTCCTGTCCTTAACTGGAGAATGTTAATGACACCTCACCCGCAGCTTGGCAAATGTTAGGCCTTAAAGTCTTGGTGAATTGATTCTGAATGTATATGGAGCTATGGATCCAGTTCTTGGGCTCTGGGCTGCTTTGCAATCAGACAGGAGACATGCGAACTAAGGGACAATGAGGAAATCAGCAATTGAAATGATGCAAGTAGTGAAAAATGAACTGTCCTCAAATTCATCACAACTGTTTCTCTCCCAAACGCGGCTGGTGGAATTCATTTCTTCTGAATCCTGAGACATTCAAATGTGTATTCTCCTTTTGGTTTTCAAAAGGGGGTGTATTACATGCACTGTTGAACTTCCTTTTTTGACTTGTCCTTGTATATCTTGGGAACTTGTTACAGATCAGGAGGTTTACATACACTTCATATTTCATTTTTCCCTTTATTGTAACATTTAAAAATTAAATGTAAACTTTTGAAGAGGAAATTCTTCACAGGACTCAGAATTCAGGAGGTATTAAAAGACTTGCAATGAAAGTTCTCCGTCAAGTCCATTTATACACTCTCCAAGTTTTGACTTTTTTTCCTTCTCAGACTGCCAGTGATATCTGGTTCTTATTTGCAAGCACATATAAGCAATGCCTTATTTTTTTATGTAGCAAATATTCTTTATGTACTATTGCTTTTTCCTTTATTTCTATTTTTTTCTATTTTTTTTTTCGAGACAGGATTTCTCTTTGTGTAGATCTCGACTAGACTAACCTCAAACTCACAGAGATCTGCCTGCCTCTTCCTCCCAGGTGCTAGGATTAAAGGCATGTGCCACTGCCCACCTTTTTCCTCTTAATATTGTTACATATAAAGCTCACCTTTTAAATATTAGAGTTACATTACAAACTTAGCAATTGTTTAACAATTTCCCTGTTAGTAAACTCAGATTGTTCATGTTTGCTACTAAACCAGGATAGCTAAGGCTGTTAAACAGAGAAGCCCTGTCTTGAAAAAACAACAAAAAGAATAATAATACATTTTATAGGAATGTTGATAGAATATTGTTGTTATGGCATTTTGCTGCATGGCTTTATTAAAGTTTCTTAATGCAGTTTCCTGTTCATAAACATCTGGTTGTCTAGTTAGCCCTTTTGAACTTCCCTCTTTCAGCTTTCTCCCCATCTTCTATACCTACCCCCAGGCACATGGCCACACACTCAGCCCAGAAACCCCACCAGTGCATGTACTGTGACAAGATGTTTCACCGAAAGGACCATCTGCGGAACCACTTGCAGACCCACGACCCCAACAAGGAGGCCCTCCACTGTTCTGAGTGCGGTAAGAATTACAATACAAAGCTGGGTTACCGTCGCCACCTGGCCATGCATGCTGCCAGCAGTGGTGATCTCAGCTGCAAGGTGTGCCTGCAGACCTTTGAGAGTACCCAGGCCCTATTGGAGCACCTGAAGGCTCACTCACGCCGGGTCGCAGGAGGTGCCAAGGAGAAAAAGCACCCCTGCGACCACTGTGACCGGCGGTTCTATACTCGGAAGGATGTTCGACGGCACTTAGTGGTCCACACTGGTCGTAAAGACTTTCTGTGCCAGTACTGTGCCCAGAGGTTTGGCCGCAAGGATCACCTGACACGCCATGTCAAGAAGAGCCACTCACAGGAGCTGCTCAAGATCAAGACAGAGCCAGTGGATATGTTAGGCTTACTCAGCTGCAGCTCCACAGTCAGTGTAAAGGAAGAGCTGAGCCCTGTGCTCTGCATGGCTTCTCGGGACGTGATGGGGGCCAAGGCCTTTCCTGGCATGTTGCCCATGGGTATGTATGGTGCCCACATCCCTACCATGCCCAGCGCGGGCGTGCCACACTCCCTGGTGCACAACACGCTGCCCATGGGTATGAGTTACCCTCTGGAATCTTCTCCTATCTCCTCCTCAGCTCAGCTCCCTCCAAAATACCAGCTTGGATCTACCTCATACTTGCCTGACAAACTGCCCAAAGTGGAGGTGGATAGTTTTCTGGCAGAGCTTCCTGGAAGCCTCTCTCTCTCATCGGCTGAACCCCAGCCCGCCTCACCTCAGCCAGCGGCAGCTGCAGCCCTTCTAGATGAAGCCCTGCTCACCAAGAGTCCCGCCAACCTCTCTGAGGCCCTCTGCGCTGCTAATGTGGACTTCTCTCATTTACTGGGCTTTCTTCCACTCAACCTACCCCCATGTAACCCACCAGGGGCCACAGGAGGCTTGGTCATGGGCTACTCCCAAGCTGAAGCACAGCCTCTGCTCACCACTCTGCAAGCTCAGCCTCAAGATTCCCCTGGAGCTGGGGGACCCCTGAACTTTGGACCTCTGCACTCCTTGCCTCCTGTCTTCACCTCTGGCCTGAGTACCACCACCCTGCCTCGTTTCCACCAAGCATTCCAGTAGCCCCCATGGAGGTCCCCCACTCAGTCTTTTGGGTCTGCAAGGGAGCCTAAGTACCCACCCCGTCCACCTCTCCCATGAAGGCAGCTGAGCTTTCAGAGCTGGGTTCAAAAAGAAAATTCCAGTGTCTATATGGAGCACTTGGTTTGGGGGTTCAGGCTCCAGGATCGTTCTAGAGGGATCCTTGAACCCAGCCCCGTGAACAATCTATCATAGGACTTTCAGGTATTTTTACTTTTATTTTTTGATCTGAACTGGGAGCTATTTTTAGCCCTCTGTCTCTCCAAAGCATCAGAACCACCTTCAATCTGGAGAAGGGGAAGCCTCTTGGAGACAGAGGGTTTTACCTTGTATGACCTCAAGAGAAATAGCTTAAGAAGCCCGCCTTCTGGTTCCAACCTGCAGACCCTCCAGCAGTTGGCCGTTGAGTCCCTGCTGTGGAAGGTCTCTTGACTATTACCTGCTTCCAGCTACCAGGCAGGAAAGGGGCTCTATTCTCAGCAATCCCATCCCTACTCTACCAGCAGCTCCATTTCAGTCAGTGTTGTCCAGCAACGGTACCGTTTACACATTCTCCTCAGACACACCATTTCACCTCCCTCGCCACACTGTTAGCCTTAGAGTAATTGCAGTGAACACTGTTTACACACCGTGAATCCATTCCCACCAGTCCATTTCAGTTGCCACCAGCCTGAACCACTTGGTACCTGGTGTTAACTGGAACCCTGTTTACAAGGCGGAGTCGGGTCTTGCTGACTTCTCTTCACTTGAGGTCACATTTTTTTCCCCTGTGGGGAAATAAACTGACTTTGGATTGCTTCAGTTTCTGCCATCTCCATGACTGCTTCTGTTCCTGCCTTCCATGGCAGTGTCCACAGGAGACAGGCAAGAAGATTGGAGCAGCTTTCTCACAGGTCTGCAATTTGGTTTTTCTCCAAGTACATCATGACACCTTCATCCTCCTGAACTGGAGAGAGGAAGAAATGAAAGGCATCCATATCCACCATTTCCCCAGTCTCTAGCCCCACCCTGGACATCATGAGCTGTTGTATTTGTCTTGGAAGGAGGGGTTCTGGGCTCTGGGCTGGTTAGCAGAGAAGAGGGAATGTGCCCTGTGTTTGTTTCCCTCCTGCTTGTCCTTTCTCTAGGACAGAATTGAACTGTCAGAGGAGTTTCTAGAAAGTTAGGATTGGGCAGATAGTTGAGTCCTAATCTATCAAATCATTGTTGCCTCTCATACCAAAATGTTCTTACCTACAGTGTCCCTTCTCCTTTCCCTGCTTCGCAGTCCCCATGGACTCTGGGCACTGTGCATTGTCTTCTCTGCTCTCTGTTGAAGACCTTCCACCTGTCGTGGTCCCTTCAGTTGCCCCGAGTATCTAGCAGTGTTTCTTGAAAGAAGTTAGTTCTTCTGCTGACTTGGGGCTCTCTGCCACAGACTGCACAACCCTTGCCCAGAAGCAGTCAAATCCCTACTCCCATTTCATCTCGGTTCTGTATGGGCTTTTCCCATGCATGGAAGGGAGGCAGCTCAGGGACCATCATTGTGGAACCTTTTGAGACACCTCTCTAATTCAGAAACACACTTCTACCTCTTTACTGTTAACTCTTACAGATGTAGCCAGCAGCCTGGGCACTTCTGTTAGTGGTGCCTTTTGCTGGCTCCTCCACTAGGGTTTCAGGACAGACTACCTAGGAACTGCCTCAATCTCCCACCAGTTCTTCCCTGCCCCTCCCTTCTGTCTAGATTCACTTCAGTTTATCATTGGGAACTGTGCAGGTCCAAGACCTGGACTCCTGCTTCAGCCCAGGCCAGTACTCCTTGTTTAAGGTGAAAACCTTCAGATTTAACTCCCTGGCCCTTGTTTGGAAGCAATGTGGAGTGAATAAGATGTTTTGATTTAAGCAAGGTAGCTTGGAATACCTTTTTTTAAAAAAACTGGATATAAATACGTCTGACAGGATTGGAATCAGACTAGGTGATTTGCTTCTAAAGATTAGTTTCAGTGAGTCCCAGGGACTAATTAAGGTTTATTTTTAAAAGCGTCTACCTTGGTACGCAACCATCTCCTGCATGCTATGCATGTTGTTGGGACTCGTATTACAGGAAATGGCATGTGAGAATCCAAGTGGAACTCGCTGCTGCCATTTTCCTTGTGTTTGGTCTTCACTAGACCCAGGCCCTCTTCTCCCTTTGCCTGCCACCTCCCTATCGCCCCATTTTCAGAAGCCAGTAGCCTCCAGCCACACAGTATAGTGCACTGGGCTGTTTGAGGAGATCTTTTCTCCTGAGCTTGTCCTCCCGTGGTGCTCATAGGACAGCAGAGCACTTATTGTAAACCTTGTAACTGGGGCCTCGTTCCCACCTCCAGTCTTTTCTCTCTGCCTTTCCTCATCCATCCTTTCTGTTTTCCAGCTTTTCTCAGTGTCCTTACCTAAGGAAATTTCCTATCACTGTGAACTTCACTGGTTATCTGCCTTCACTCTTTCGGACCACAAACCACCCTGCAGTTTCTTAACTCTTTCCCCAACCTACCACCCAAAAGAGCCTTTTTGGCCAGTTGTTAAAAGGATAAAAATAATTTGCTCTGTACTTGGTGCCCAAACTCATTTAAGTACCCCTTATTAGGCCAAGAGAGCCAGAGGGGCATCTTCCCAGGACAGGAGCCATGGTGTGTGTGTGTGTGTGTGGCACAGACCAATCAGGGACCAGAAAAGAATGATGTTCCCTTTCCTTGCCACATACTCTAGCCTGTCAGCAATGCACTGCACAGGGGACAAGTGCCCCTCAGCCTGCACAGCAGCTTGTCAAAGTTGAGGACTGTCCTGGGTCTAGGGACTAGCATGCCCAGGTGTCGGCTCAGAGGATCCTAGCACCATCTTAAACAGGTGGGAGGCAGGGAAGGGTGCACCAGTGTGTCTCTCCCCGACTTTATGTGGTGTTTTTGTTAATGCAAATCTGGGGAAGCAGGTGTGATTGCTTTTTTGTTCGTAGATATTGTCGTAAGTTGAAATCTCCCCAAACCTCCCTTAATAGCCTTTAAGTTTTCCCTTCCCTTTTTGGTAGCTATTTTCCCTACCCCTTCTCCATGATTTAAAAAACAAAAAAAAAAAAAAAATAAAAAATAAAAAAAAACAGGTTGTATTATACAGGATCAATATTTTGCTTTTTAACAAGGATATTTATGTAATAAGAAACTTTGCCTTAGGCAGGTGTTGGCCAGAAAAGTCCAGATTTCTCTGGGACCTCACCCTGGCCTCTCCTGGAGCTCTGAACCTGCTGTGGAAGGAAGTGGCTGTGACTTTCACCACTGGAGAGTGGGGTCTGTGGTGTGAAAGGGTGTTCATAGTGTAATTTTGGACTGTGTGGAGTGGTTCCTACCAACTTGCTTCAGGTGTTGCCTGTGTCATCTGCCAGTTCTCCCATGCGCAACCTCTGCGTGTCTGGCACTAGAATTCCTGAACACTACTTCACACCCTTCTCTTACTCCCAGTTGGTTGAAGCTTTGGAGTCACTCTTTCTTAATGCCAGATTATTTAAAGAAAAAAAATTACAAGACAAAAACCTTCTAGCACTTTGTAAACACAGTGAATAACCTCTTGGAGTATTTTTGGCTTTATATAAAACAAGGTTTTTAATTGTAAAATATAAGTGCCATTAGAAAATGCACAGGGCATATCTTTGTTAAAGTAGATTTTTCAATGTTTTACAGAATTAATTTTCAAAAAAAGTTTTTATAATGAAGTTGTTTATTAAAAACTTCTGAATGATGTGCTTTGCAGTTTCGAGTCTGTTTATTGGGGAAGGGTTGGAGTAAGCCTGAAATTGTGAAGAATGGGAATCTGCAGGCTTCTTTAGCATCCAGGGTGATGGTGGTGAGGGCAGGGCAAATATTGGATCTTAACTGAATGTCTTTGAGGTAAGTGGCTTCACTGTATTCATTGGATGTAAGGATCAGAAAACCCAGATCAAATGGGCTTTAAATACTGAAGTGTTACATAACTGAAAATGACAGAAGTAGTTCGGTCTTCACATTTGTTTTGATGCAGAGGCTCAAACGTGTTCAAACTCTGCCTCTAATTCTCTGGCCCACTTTTGTGCAGCTGATTGTCCTTAGGTCCTAGAAAGACTCACCTTTGGTATCTTAGAGTAGACGGTGATTTTAGATGTCTTCACGAAGTTTTGACAGGAAGAGAACGAACCCTTTTTAGGCTCCCTGAGGTGCACATGTTTTAACAGCTAGGACCCAGCTTTACACGTCTGTGCTCAAACACTGTTTAGATAGTGCTTCCGGGCTGATGTGGGCTCACCTGACACTATTACTTGGCCTATCTCTTAACAGATTGTCATTGCCCTCCCAGGCCCCACCCCTTGCACTGAGATCTTCTCATCTAGGGGATTGGAACCAGTGTCCAAAGCCAAACAGTCACTCGGAGTATAGTCCAAGAGGCTATGAGGGCAAGAAGCGGCAATGTGCAGTGCTTTGGCACACAGAGACAGAGGACAGATTCCTTATTTTAGCCTCTCCTTTGACAAGTATCCACTGCCTGCCCCAGTGGGTCAGAACTCCAGGTAGGACCCTGAGAGATCCAATCTAGGAGATGTCAAGGGCAGTGGTTCTCAGCCTGTGGGCTGAGCAACACTTTCACAGGAGTTGTATATCAAATATTTACATTATGATTCATATAGTAGCATAATTGGTTATGAAGTAGCAACAAAAATAATTTTATGGTTGGGGTTAGTACAACATGAGAAACTGTATTAAAGGGTTGCAGAATTAGGAAGGTGGAGAAGGTCTAGGGGGTTCAGATAGAGCTGTGGTGTCCTTTGGATGCGGCTGAAGGCTTTCTGGAGGATATTGTGGGGACATCTAGGCAGAGATATGGAGGCATTCAGTGTGCTGACCTCCGTAGTTTGGAAGCTGAGATTTCAGGAATGCAGCCAGACTTAGAGGATTGTGGAGTGCAAGGGCAGTAGTTCCGTCCAGGCTCTTAGTCTGTCCAGACACAGCCCCTGCATTGAGTCCCTTTTTTTGTTTTGTTTTGTTTTTAAATGACCAGGTCCCTATCCAAGTTTCTTCCTGTTGCTTTGATAAAACAGTGACCAAAACCAGCTTGGGGATGAGAGGGTTTATTTCATCATATAGGTTACAGTCCATCATTGAGGGAAGTTAGAGTAAGAACTCAAACAGGGCAGGAACTGAGAGACCATGCATGAGTTGGTCCTGGAAATGGGTTTCCCGGAAGACCGAGATGAGGGAATAAGAACGAAGGACAAACATGTATGAAAAGCTGGGATTAGTTCGGTGTTCCCTCTTATGGACTCAAACCAACTATGTAGCAGTTGGAACCTCCATGATTTTATTATGTACAGCACAAGAAGGAAGGGTTAGCTAGTCTTGGTAGGAGGTCTCTGTGGGCGAGCAGTCTCAGATCTCAAACTGTAAGCATCTGCAGTTGATGCTTTCTGAACTTAATACATATTGACTCAAGGCTTCCTCTGCTCCCCGCAGTGTTCTTACACAACCCAGGCCCATCTCGTCAGTCAGAGATGGTACCACCCATGATGGGCTGTGTCATCCTCATCGATTAGTAATCGAGAAAGTGTTCGGTAGATACGCCACAGGCCAGTATGATAGAGGCAGTTTCTCAATTGAAGGTCTCTTTTCCCAGGTGTGTCAAGTTGATGCTCAAGATTAGCTATCACGGTCTTATGTAGCCCCAAGTCAGTATATAGAGCAATGTGGCCTCAAACTCAGATCCCACTGCCTCTGCCTCCTGAGTGCTCTGTCACCTTGGTCTGCCCTTTTTTGTTGTTTTGTTTGAGTCAAGACCTCGATTTGTACATAGAATTCCACCCCCCACTTCCACCCCACCTTACATCCTGGGCATCACTGCCACCTTGGATATTTGAGACAGGCTTTCTCTGTGTAGCCCTAGTTGTCCTGGACCAGACTGGCCTCAAACTCAGAGTCACTTACCTCTCCTCTATAGGGATTAAAAACTTGGGCCACCACTGTCCAGCACGTATGTATCCTTTAAAATTCTCAGTGAAATGGCTGGCTCTGAGCATAGGGGCAGTCTTGAGCCTGCGCCATGTGAAGCAAGGACCACTTGATTTCCACAGCAATAGCCCAAGAGGATCTAGCTCCTGTGGGAACCAGGCTAGCAACGATTGCTTCCTGGTTTGCAGCCATTTAAGATCTTTCCTGGCCTGATCCTTCTAGTGCCTTCTTTTCCAGCAGCTTGATTGCCAGACAGTTATGCTTATTTTTACTTTCCAGTTTGAATCTGGTCAGTCCTCTGCCTGTGCCAGTATAATTTATCCTGTGCAAGGCTGCAAGTGTCCTAGCTGCCTGTTCTAAAGCTGCAAAGAACCAGGCAAGGGAAACAGTCCTCCCCTGTGCGATGGAAGGTTATAACCACGTTTGAGGACGGAGCCTGTCCTCTGATGCTGCTCCAGTTGCCCTTTTGCCTAGTCCACACCTGCCCTGCTAACCTGGAACCAGTTCTATTTGTCATGGATGGTCTTCCCGGTCCCCAGCAGTGGAGGGAACCTAGCAAGTCACATCCGGGAAAGGGGAGTGCAAGGGGCGGAGCTCGCCCCAGAGAAAAGACCCCGCCTGCCACCAGCGTCCTACTGCGGCAACATCACAGTCCTGCCGGTGCTCTCCGGGCCTCTCCATCCAGAGATTCAGTAGGAGATGGCGGGCGAGGGAATTGGGGTTCTGGAGCTGGCCGCCCATCCGCCGCCTGGGCAAGAGCAGGATGTGCGCCTCGTCCCGGCGTCCAGCGCCCCCGGAGCAGGGGCACACGGATCCTCCGACCCCGCAGCCAGCCCCGGGACCACATTGCCTGCCCCAGAAAACACTGGAGAGGCCCCCACCTCCAGCGTCCTGAGCCCAGAGGGCTGTATGCAGGGATGGGGGACTCAGGTGGGGACCGGAGGGAAGGCCCAGGAAGTGACGACTGAGGAGGCCACCGTAGCCGCGGAGAAGCCTGTGGAGGTGGGGGAGAAGCTGGAGTGGGTTGCAGAGGCCCAAGCAAACTTGGGGATTCTGGACCTAGGGGCCCTTATCGTAGACCCGCTGGAGGCCATCCAATGGGAGCTGGAGGTCATGAGTGCCCAGGCTGACGGGGCCTACCTTCCGCTGGAGCGCAGGTTTGGGAGGATGCGCCGTTTGCACCTAGCCCGCCGGAGCTTCATCATTCAAAACATTCCAGGCTTTTGGGTCACTGCCTTCCTGAACCACCCACAGCTGTCAACCATGATCAGCCCTAGGGATGAAGACATGCTTGGCTATTTGATGAATTTGGAGGTGAGGGAGCTCAGACACACCAGAACAGGTTGCAAGTTCAAGTTCCTGTTTGGGAGCAACCCCTACTTCCAAAATGAGATGATAGTGAAGGAGTATGAGTGTAGACCTTCAGGCCGGGTGGTGTCCATGGCGACTCGCATCCGCTGGCACCGAGGCCAGGAACCTCCGGCCTTGGTGAACAGGAACCGTGATACCATGCGAAGCTTCTTCAGCTGGTTTTCACAGCATAGCCTTGCAGAGACTGACAGGGTGGCCCAGATCATTAAAGATGACCTGTGGCCCAACCCTTTGCAGTACTACTTACTGGGGCAAAGGCCCTACAGAGCTAGACCAGGCTTTGCAAGGTGGTCGCCAGAGGCTCTACGTAGGCCCTATGCGTTCCAGTCTGGCTAAGTCCTGCTCCAATACATGGCGCCTCCATAGGACTACTCCTCTGCCTGTGAGCCTACCTATGTTCATGTCAGAGCTCTGCTGTTTGCTTCCTCTCTTGTGAATTCTGGCTCTTCAGCATGTTTGGTGGACTCAGGGCCAAAGTTGTGACATTGTGTGATCTCATATGCCACTGCATTTAGAGTGGGCACCCAACGCTATGGACTTGTACTACCATCCAGTGCGTGGCCTGGATCCACCTGTAAAACTTGGCCTTTCTACTCACTGGACACCGTTACCTATAGGGCTTCACAAGGACCAGAGCCTGTTTGAGGCCTAGTGCTTCAAAGCTACAATATGCTGGGCTTCACAGCTGTGCCGCCGACTGTCCCAAACTGAGGCTTATCACCCAAGAGGAAGCACATGTGGTCCTGGCAGTCAACCAGACTTGGATAGCCCATGGCTCCAGGACCACAGAGCAGTTTCCTATTCACTGGATTGTTGGGCATCTGCAACCTGGGCAACCAGATGATCAGACATGGGTGAGGCCTAGGGCCTGAAGCAATGGCCGGTGCATTGTCGTGATCAGTACTGTTCTTTATATCCTGTGTGTGTCCCTCTCATAGACTGCTGTTGGCTTGTGAAAACCCACGCTGTGCCCCACCCATGCCTGGCCATAGCCTTTCTGAGGAATTTTGCCTAGCCCACCATCACCCCTGCTGCCTGCTCTCAGGTCCGTAAGGGCCCCTTGTTAATATAATGAGAGCTCCTAATTCCAGAGATTGCACCGGGCTGGCATATCTGGGCATGTGCTCAAGGTAGGAGCCTTCCTACCTGAAGCCTCACTTCTAGACCTTCACAGAAGTCAGACCCTTTGTCAGTTTCTCCTTCACCTACCTGGTTTTAAGCTGCTAGGTTGTAAAGGGAGAGGGGCTTTCTGGCCGTGTGGCATACACTGGCATAGGTCTCACACGGTTTTTAATAGGACATCTCTGAAATGCATTTTCCAAATAGCTAAGGAGACATTTCTTGAATCCGCCTGTCTTAGGGATTACCAGTGCTCCCTGCCCCCTCGCCCTTGCAAGGCTTAGAATAGTCACAGTGTACAGTGCAACGCTGGGACAAGACAACTAATCACTTCATTTTACACTGTGTTCTTTTAAAGAAACTTTAGTGTCTCTTCTTTGCCTCCCCTACCCCTTGTGGGTTTATCGATAAAAGAGGCTAAACTGCCCTGCCCCTCCGAGTCCCCTCCAGGTTGTCTCTGTCTCATGAAAGGCCTTCCTTTCTGCTCCCTAGGACTTGGAGACATAAAACAATGGGGATGGAGAACCCTCAGTCTTTGCTAGCTTGCACCCTTCCTTCCTTCCTTCCTTCCTTTTTTCCCTTTCTCTCTTTTGATTCACCAATATATTTTGTAAATTAGAAGAGAAACATAATACTGTCACTTTTTGGCTGTTTTCTGGTCCAGTTATGAGCTTGTATGGACAGAAAGTTAATGTGTTCTTCATTTTGTACCTTTTGAGTAAGACCCATGCGTCTCCTCTGCTCTTACTGGATGACTGAGCTGTACAGGCTTGTGTGTGTTTTGCTGAGGACGTTTGTGAGATGGCCACTGTAACTGCTCTGTGCCACTTGGACATTTGTGACTACTCACGGCTGTTATTGAGTTGTGGCTTGGTGCTGTAGAGTTTGAATCTGGTGATTTTGTGGAACTTAATGCTGGCCATTGTTGCTGTGTTCTGTGAGAATAACCCCCAGAAAGAACCTGAAACCCAGCATCTTCTGGGCCCTGCAGACCATGTTGTAACAGACATTTTTGTTTCCAGATGGAAAAATGTTCCTAGGTTACTTTGTGTAGTCAGAAGAGGGTTTGTGGCACTTTATCTGCAACATGATGATAAAGAATAAAAACCTTTTGATCTAGGGAAATTAGACCATGTTATTCCCTGGTCTAAAAGCTTCTATTCATGAACAGGCAAACACAGGAACCTCCCAGGCCTTATCACAGCTGCCCAAACCTGCCTTTGCCGACCCTTGTGGCCTCTCTACCACCTCCCTCAGTTCATTGGTTTCTCCCGCTTCCCCCAACACACACACACATGCACACACACGTGCGCACACGCACGCACACACACACACACACACACACACACACACACACAAACACCTTGTCACTCCTGAGAAGCTTCAGAAGTGTCCAGCTTCAGGATTTTGCACTAGTTTTTCCCTCTTTCTGGAAATTTTCTTCAGATATGGGCCTGGTTCCTTCATCAAGTCTCAAATACCCTCTCTTTGAAAACCTTTCCTACACCCACCTTGGGGATATTCTCTTTATTACATGTAGCTCTGCAGTGACGTTTTCACGCCTCCTTTCTTCGCTCGCTCCCATGAAATCAGGAGAGCAGGGACCCATCGGTCTGCTGTTTTGCTCACGGGGTTCTCTGTCCCACATCCCCTGTTATCAGCATGAATGAGTGACTTATCTGAGTGTGCTGGAGTGCAGTGTGAAGTTCTGACAAGATAAGGAACAAGGCATGGCTCCTGCCCAAAGACTGCAGTTGGGTGGAGAAGGGTGGGGTGATGAGGGGTGACCATACAGTTTGCCATCCCACTGGAACACATATGCAAATGAAAAAGTCACTCCTAGAAATCACCAGGCCAAGGAGAGAGCCTAATTCAGTCCAGCATGGCCAGCAGTTTACCCACGCTGAAGATGATGGGAGGTGGGAGGCTTCTTTAATATAGGCATTCTGGAGAATGTAGACCAGACTGGCCTCTGCCTCCCAAGTACTGGAATAAAGGCCTAAAGGTGGCCTTGGAGGAGTAGGCAAAAGTTTAAGAAGGAGAGCTCTGACTGGGGATGTAGATCAGTGTGAGCTCTTAGTAACTTAGCTTGTGTGAGGCTCTGGTTCCATCCCAGCAATGTAAATAAATACGAACAAAATGTAAGTCTGGAGAAGGGAAGGGACATTGTGGCAGGGCAGACAGCATAAGCAGACAGACACCAATGTGTGCAAATGCAGTCTGTTGAACACAACTGCTGCTGGAGATGTGTAGAGCCAGGCAAAACTTTATTCTCTGGATAGCAGCGAGGAGTGTCAGGTGTGGCTCACAGGGAGCAAGGAGGGATCCCCAGTATCTTCAGTTGGCCTTATCTGCCTCTCCAGTTTGTAGCTCTTCTTGGAAGCCTCCAACATTCCCACAGTAATCTTTTATGCAGACCTGTCTGTCGTGGAACTCACTCTGTAGATCAGGGTGGCCTTGAACTCAGAGAACTCTGCCTGCCTCTGCCTCCTGAGAACCAGGATTAAAGAGGCGCAGCACCAGCTGGTCAGTGGTGGCATTGTAGGGACTGGCATGCCATGGTATTTGCCTGATTTGAGCCTGTTGATTGTCAGGTCCACTCTGGTTCCTGCCTAATTTGGGGCTGAGCCACCTTGTGCCCTCCCCAGTTCCTGGATGGTGGCACTAAAGTTAAACAGGTGCTTTACCTATTACACAGTCTACCAGGCTTCCATCACACTGCTCAGCCCTGTGCCCTGTGCCCTGCCCTTGTGGAGCGTGAGCCTTACCCACACAAGGAACTCTTGCTTCTATCATGTTTGTTTATTCACACTTTTTTTTCTTTTTTCTTTTCTTTTCTTTTTTTTTTTTTTTTTTTTGAGACAGGGTTTCACTGTGTAGTCCTGGCTGTCCTGGAACTCATTCTGTAAACCAGGCTATCCTCGAACTCACAGAGATCCACCTCCTGAGTGTTGGTGTGCACCACCACTGTCTAGCTGTTTACCCACACATCTTAACACCCTCTCTGTTTGGGCCCCTGCCCTCAGCTCAAGGGTCCAATAGCCATCAGCACTTATGGAATACCTACTGTGTCTTGGGAGTCTACATGGCTACAATACCGACAGTGGCTCCCTTTACCTGAGTCAGCCCATGTCTTTCTGTTCCAAACCCTCCTGGGGCTCGGATCTTACACGACAAAAACAAGCTGGCTCTACTTAGCCCACAAGACCCTGAAGACCTGACCTTGGCTTTCCCCTCCTTCAAACAGCCTTCCAGCCACAAGTCTCCAAACCTGGGCTTTGCCATCCTTCTCTAGATATTTGCATGGCTGGTTTCCTGATGTGGGATTCCCCTCTGTATGTTGGGAATATGTTTTATTACCATTGGTTAATAAAGAAGCTGTTTTGGGCCTATGGCAGGGCAGAATAAAGCCAGGCAGGAAATCCGAACCCAGATATAGAAAGTAGACGGAGTCAAGGAGATGCCATGTAGCTGCCGAAGGAGACAGACGCCCTGGAACCTGTAAACTACGAGCCTTGTGGTAAAATACAAAATAATGGGAACGGGTTAAGATGTAAGAGTTAGTTAACAGGAAGCCTGAGCTAATAGGCCAAGTAGTGTTTTAATTTAGTTTCTGTATGATTATTCGGGTCTGGGTGGCTGGGAAATGAATGAGCAGTCTCTGTCACAGTTTCACAGCTTCAATGTGCACATTTGAAAAAGGGTTTCCCCTCTTCAGTGAAACCATTCTGAAGCCACCATGTAGTACCTCCTTCCACTGGCTGGGGTCTTATTTGGAGGTTCACACCACCTAAGGCTCGTCTGCATTTTCTCTCTTTCTTTTTTTCTTTGTTTGCTTTTTTAAAAAGTTGAGACAGGGTCTCTCTGTGTAGCCCTGGCTATCCTGGAACTCACTTTGTAGACCAGGCTGGCCTCAAACTCACAAAGATCAGCCTGCCTCTTTTCCTGGGTGCTGGGATTAAAGGAGTGCACCACTACCACCCCCCAACTACTACAGCACATTATTAAACAGCTACTTCCCAAGGACTCTTGGGGACTTCTTCGCTGCTGTCTCTCCTCACCTGGAATAAATCAGGCTTGGCACAGTTGGGAACTCAGTCATTATACATGGAGGGGCTTCCAGGTGGGCAAAGGGAAAATAATCACTTGGGCCAGAGGGCCGAAGACAGGGCATGGACTAGGAAACTCTCTAGGCAGCCTGGGAACTGGAGCAATAAATGCACATGGGCCCATTCCAACCCATCCTGCAGAGATAGCTGTAAGTTTATAGGTTCCAAAGCACAAGGAAGGAGCCTAGTTTTTCTTACCCTCATCTTGGGTGTCTACCCTGTTCTTTTGACCTAGAAATAAAACTTTGAACAAGTTACTTTCAATCTGAGGAAAAACCTGTCCCTAAACTATGGCAATTGCTCATAATCAGCAACTGCCTTGATTATAGTCCAAGGGACTTTGATATTTTCCTTCAAAGATACTATTTAAGTACAAAAATTCAAGGAAGTACCATGTCAGCTTGCCCCTTGCTCAGCAGCAGAACCATTGATTGGACTCTGAATGTGGACTCCCCACCAGTGGCCCCATCAGAGCTGACTCAAGTGTGGGGTGATGGTGCAGGGAGTGTGGGAGCCTTGGGTAGTAGTGTAAGATGTGGGTTGCAGGTGAGCTGTGGTCCAGTGGGCACCAGCTAGGAGGTCCTTCCTGCCCTCTATCATTCCCTGTGTGCCCTTGGGTGTCTTCACAGCCCTCAGCCAATTTTCTGTTCCAAATGGGAAACTGGGAATTCCTTAGTGGGAAGACAGTGTCCCTTGAGGATAGTGTTTCTCAATCTGTGGGTCATGACCCTTTAGGGATCGAATGACCTTTTTACAGGAGTTGCCTAAGACTATTGGAAAACACAGATATTTACATTATGATTCATAACAGCAGCAAAATTAGTTATGAAGTAGCAACGAAAATGATTTTATGGTTGGGGGTCACCACAAGATGAGGAACGGTATGACAGGGTCACAGCACAGGAAGGTTGAGAACTACTGATTTAGAGGGTCCCCTCTCCACATGCACCTCCAGCCTTCCAAGAGACTGACTCAGTGACAGTGCTGTTGGAGGTATCTAACAGGTCTGACACACAGTAGGCTTCTTCCTTACATGAGTCTGCTTAAGTAAGACAGGCTTGGGGCTGCTTAGTTTATCAGCTCACGGATGTCTTCAAGGACCGGGACCTTGTCCTGTCTGCCATCCTTCATGCTGGTTTCGCTCTCAGATTGGGGCCCAGGCAGTAGCTCCAAGGGTCCCACTGGGGTATATTGGTAACTATCCTGATTCTGAGAGAGAGAGAGAGAGAGAGAGTCCTTTCCAGGGGCCTCTGTGCTTTCCCGTAGTTCCCTGGCTGGAACTGGGTCCTGCTCTGGAGTCTGTGACTGACAGAGGGAAAGACGGCACTGCGAGTAGCTACCACCCCTTGGGACCCTTCGGGGAGCACTTGTACTGTGGTGGCCCTCAGAGCTACAGGGTACTGACTTCTAGAACATTCCTTAAATCAAGTCACTAGTCTCTACCAAACTAAACAGGCAAGTGGTGTCTTTTTTTTTTTTTTTAAATATTTATTTATTTATTCATTATGGATACAATATTCTGTGTGTATGTCTGCAGGCCAGAAGAGGGCACCAGACCTCATTACAGATGGTTGTGAGCCACCATGTGGTTGCCGGGAATTGAACTCAGGACCTTTGGAAGAGCAGGCAATGCTCTTAACCACTGAGCCATCTCTCCAGCCCGTCTTTTTTTTTTTATTTAAAGATTTTATGTGCATGAGTGTCTTGCTTGCATTCGTATATGTGTACCATATGCATTCTTGGTGCCCACAGAGATTAGAATTGGAGTTGCAGATGAGCCCCCATGTGGGTGCTGGAAAGAGAACCTGGACCCTCTGCCAGAGCAGCCAGGAAGAAATAACTGATCATGTGCCATGCAGAGGACTCTCACTCAGCTCATCATGCAGCCCCTCAGAGTCCCCGTGGGCTTAGATGAAAAGGGAACCGCAGAGACTTGTCTTCAGTCAAGGCCAGAGGAGGTCTGCCTAGCTGACACAACCAGAAAAGAGCAAAACAGGAGCTGGCAAAGTGGCTCAGTGGGCAGGGACACTCCCCACCAAGCCTAATGGCCCGAATTCGATCCTCAGAACCTACATCCAGGTAGAGAGAACTAAAGACTCTCCAAGTTATTCTCGGATCTCCACGTGTGTCGTAGTACACGTACACACAGACATTAGACAAGCGTTAAAGGATGTATCTAGGCCGGTCATGATGGTGCACACCTTTAATCCCAGCACTCAGGAGGCAGAGATGGCAGATCTCTGTGAGCTTGAAGCTAACCTAGCCTTCCTGGAGAGGAGTGTAAAGGAGAACTACTCTGAAGAGACCAAGCTGACAGTGAAGAGACCACGGTGGCGGCTCTTTGACTCTGTCAAACATTTTCAGAAAGTACGACATCCCGAGAGGCCCCTGGAGAGCTTGGGGGGGGGTGTCTCTGAGCACTCAGAATACAATTGAGACCACATTTGTGAGGAGATGCCTGAAACCAGGTAAGAAACACTCAGAAAGGGCTAGGTACACCCAGGGGACACAGTGTCTATCCTACCAGGCATCACAGGGTACCCAGTATACCCAGGAAGGTATCGCTGTATAGCCAACTATTACCAGTAGAAAGAGCTCATGTGGATTTGCAAATAAAACATCATGTGAGCCCAGAGAAAAACAGTTTCCAAATACTTAAACTGTCCCAGAGCAAATCTCAGATTTACAGGATTATATCTAAGACCCCATGAGATAAAAATGTTCAATGTATGGCATCTTAGCTGGGCCACTGGAGTATGCTAGTAATTTCAAGACCCAGGAGGCAGAAGCAAGAGGACAGAAAGCTCCAGGTTCACCTAGGGTACACAGGAAGTTCAAGACCAGTGTGATCTGTGTGAGATTCTATCTCAACAAAACATTATATATAATATATATATATTCATATATATACACACACATACATATACAGACATAAATATACATACACACATATCAAGCACTAGAAGTATAGCTTAGTGGTGGAGTCTTGGTGAGTCAGGAAGATGATGAGTTCAAGGTTATCCCCAGCTACCTAACAACTTTGAGGGCCAGCCTAGGCTACATAAGACCTTGAAGCAAGAACAAAACAACAAAAAACCCCAAAACATAACCACAATGTTTGACATCTAATCCAATTATCAAGCCTACAGTTGCAGTCAGGGATTCCAGAACAGCTGATCTGAACAGCATCATTGCCAAGCTGACCTGACTCCACCCCAAAACACAGGAGACTCATTCTTTTCCAGTGTACGTGAATTTTTAAGAAGAGACTGTATGTGTGGCCATAGAAGTATTCAAACCATACACAGCTTTGAACGACAACAGAAAGTATAAATCAGCAACACACGGGTGCTGGAGAGATGGCTGAGTGAAGAGCACTGCCTGCTCTTTCACAGGACTCAGGCTTGACTTCCAGCGCCCACACAGTGGCTCACGATGACCTGTAACTCCAGTTCTAGAACACCCAATGCTCTCTCCTAGCCTCTGCAGGTGGATATAGTGACATGCAGGCAAAACGCTCCCATAATAACACTGAAACATTAAAAAAGCAACAAAGACACCCCAAATGAATGTCCATGGGAAGGAAAACACAATATTGTGAAGATTCTTTCCCAAATGATCCAAATTTAAGACAATCTGCACTGAAATACAAGTTTGTTTTTTTTTTTTTGTTTTTGTGGAAGTCAAGAGGATGGTTCATATGGAGATGCAAAAGGCTGATCTCAAGAATTTCTTGAAAAGGAAGAATCTTGCTTAGCTCAGCTTTAGAACACTTGCCTGGCATGCACAAAGCTCAGGCTGGGACCAGGGAGAGAGAGGTCAGAGGGCAAAGGTCCTAATGTGCAAGTAAGTCGGATGACCCAAGTTCAACTCCCAAAATCCACATTAAAAAACAACAAGACCAAAGCCAGATGCAGTGGCACACATCTGTAATCCTGGCACTGCTAAGGTCGGTCAGCTAGGAGGGTAAGACAGGAGAACCACTGGGAGCCTAAGGACCAGCTCGGCTGCAGTGTGCAGCAAAGGCACAGAGGTGAGATCCAGCCTCAGCAGGGCAGGCGGCTAGAACCCACTCCTCAAAGTTGGCTTGATTTCCACGTGTGTCATGGTGTTCTCTCACACACAACACATACACATATCTTAAGAAGCTACAGTGGCAGGCAGTGCAGGAGTCATAGTGACCTCAGGGACAGTAGGCATGTCGGGGTTCTCCATGTCTCTGTTGGCTGTGGTCCATGGCATCAGTATGGCCTACCAGGAAGCCGACTTGGCAGTCAATGA